GCTGTGCCCTGGGAAACTGGGAGCTTGGACGCCTGCCCACAAGCAAAAGCCACCAAAGCCCTCAAAACGAGAGGCTTTCTCCTTGCAGATCCAGATGGCATCGCTGCCCTGAGCTCCCTCCTTGCAGGGAGGGCAGAGGGGCTGGCTCCAAGCTGCCCCGTGTCCTGCACCGGGCTGGAGGACCAGCCCTTCCCATGGCCAGGAGCCGGGATGCAGAGGACATCCTGGCAGGACCGTGTCTCACCTTGGCAGTGCATCACGAAATGCAGCCACCCCTCCGACGTCCTCAGGGGTCAGTGACTGACTGGGGTCAGTGAGTGATTGCTGCGTTGGCTGCCTCCAGCTGCAAGGTGGAGCAAAACCAACTTATTTAGAAGCCCCACACCGCCTGTCCGTGCTCTGCACTGGCGAGCAATGGGGCACACGATGAGGCCAGGAGCCCAAAGAGCTGGGGAAGGTGGGGGAGCAAGCACAGGGGACACAGAGGGATGAAGCCAAGTACCCATTGTTCTTGGCAGGCTGATGGAACACGTGCCCAGGTAGTGCCTCAGTGGTCCCTGCAGCCTCTCTGCCTGGAGGACACCGTGGCTCTGCCCTGTTATTTCCTATGGGGGTCAGGAACTGCCCCACATGAGAACCCAGAGGTGTCCCAGTGGGTCTGGGGTCTGCCCCTGCCATGCCTTCTTCCCAGCCCCTTTGGTTGTTCCCCACTGCCACCGCAGGGTGAGCCAGTGTGGGGCAGCAGGAGCAGGGATCCATCACGGCACAGTGCCGAGCCCGGGCGGAAGCAAGCGAGCGTGTCCGGCATGGGAAGCGGGAGAACAGGCTTTTTCCATCAGGTGCTCTGTCTCCGGGAGCAGGAGGCAAAAGAAAACAAAAGGCAGGAGAGGAGCAGGGCAGGAGGAACCTGCGCGTCTGGATCATGTAACCAGCGACGTGCTGTAAACGCTGGGCTGCTGATGGATGTGCCGGCGGCAGGATGTGCCGGACCCGCACCCTCCCTCCCTCCCTCCCGGCCCCCCCTCACGGAGCTCTCCCGACGCCGCTGGCCCCGTGTGAGCCTCCTGGGTGCTGCTGCCTCCAGACCCGGAGCCTGGCTGTTAGCTCACACGCGTGATCCAAAGGGCGTGATTTACAGACAGCCCCCGGCATCACCCGAGGAGACAGCCGGATTGAGGCTGTATAAATAATAGTGCCCTTTGATGTACAACCCAGGCACAGCGAGACCCCAGGCTGCCAACAGCTCATCCAGCCCCACATGCAGCCACCACGGTCACCCCCACTGCCTTCGGCAACCCAGAACCTCAGGGTGGCTCCATGGCCACAAGCACCCACATTGGGTGCTATCCCTTCCCTCCTACGGGAAAACCCTTCCCAGCATCGATCTGGGGACAGCACCAGCGTCACAGGGGCACAGGAGGGGAGTGCACCCACCCCGCTCGATGCCAGTACCAAATTCCCGGCTGCCCTCGCCAGCTGGGCCAGAATTCAGCACTTTTTGTTTTTCCCTTTTTTGAGAGCGAGGAGTTTTAATTCCCACCAAACAATGTTCCTTTTCCAGAGAGCTTAAAATAAGCCTTTTTGGCCCGGGTGTCTCTGCAGTGCTCACGCGCTGCGCAGGGCTTTGTGCAAATATGGATGTGAGTGAGCTCCGTGCCGCCGGCTCGGATGGGAGATACCTGCTGGGGGGCCCTGGTCCCAGCCCTCCTCCCCACTGCGGTGTGGGGCTGGATGGGGCGAGGCCAGAGCACACGTATGTTTGATGAGTGGAAAATGTTGCTCATGCGGAGGATGCAGGAGGTGCCACCGCTGCAGTGCCGGAGCCTCCTGCCTGCCCCTGCACACACAGTGTCTGTGTGCTCAGGTGCGCTGGGGCATCACAAGCCCTGTGGAAGATCCAGGCTCTGGAGCAGCATGGTGCCCGGGAAGCAGCCATGCCCTGCAGTGTGGCACCAGCACTGGAGGGACTACAGACCCCCTGTCAGCGGCTCTCACCATGGCAGGGACATTCCTGCTTCAGAGAGCTGTTTTCTGCCAGCATGGGATCTGGGGTCTGATTGCCCCCATTCCCTTACCTGTGGTTCTCACTGTATGCTCTGCCACATGCTCCCTGGCCAGCGCATCTCTTCTGCCAAGCACAGCACATCCACCCTGCATCCCTCTGCACCGGGAGCTTGAGCTTGGCCAGAGACACGGCAGCAGGTTATGTGATGGTTACACTGGGAAATATGTGCCAGAGTTTACTCAGGGCAGGTAGAACCTATCTACCTTCATGGCCCCTCCTGTCCTGCTTGGGACACCACACGTTTGCTGCGGCAGTGGGGTGATGTGGTGGGGAGATAGCAGGGATGAGCACTACAACAAACCCGAAACTGCATCCCCCCACAGAAGCCATGCAGGGGTTTCCAGCCACCTTCCCCTTTGCCTCCCTGCAGCAGGATGACCCCAGCACACCCTGCTCCCGCAGGGGCAGCACCACAGCTGGCACTGGCAAACTGCTGTCCCATCCCAGGCAGGAGGCAGGGGCCGGCTGTGACCCAGCCGCTCTCACACACTGCTCCTTCCCTTGTGCGAGGTGATGGGGAAAAGCCACCCCCGCCTCCCCCAGCTTATCAAATGCGGCCATGTCTGCAAAGCCCTGGTTTCCTTTTCACCAAAAAAGATCAAAACTGGGTAACTGGCTGCTGGCGCAGATGCCTCTGAGCCTCTCTCATGTGTAAACAGCATTGCCGAGTGCTGACACAACGCAGGCGGCCGTGGCACACACAAGGCGCTGCAGCACCCTCTGGGTGCCCATGCTGCTCACTGCCCCTCCCTGGGGGATCCCGGAACAGGGGTGCAGCAGGGGCTGGCTCGGCACCCCAGGAGAGGCTGCTGGCAGAGGGATGAGTGCAGCAGAGGCAGGTGGCTGCAGGTCCCCAACGTGACAAAAGGGACACACTGTGCTCAGTGCACAGCATCAGACCTCAGCCGGGAGCATGGCAAAGCCCCAGTGTTAATGTGAGGCTGCCCTCCGTGTGGGAGCAGCCAGACTGTGCTCCCTGCTGCATCCCTGGGGATGGCGGGGCTGGGAGGAGAAGAGGGACAGTATGAGCTGGGGGTGCAGTTTTAGCCCATTCACAGGGTTTTCTAGAGGCCCAGTTCATGGACTGGGAAAAGGAGATGGAAATTTCCCACTGCTCTACAATGCACAAGGGCCTCCAAACCCCTGGGGATCAACAGAGAGTCAGGAGTCAGAGGGAAACTGAGCATCTGGTGCTGCCACACACACTGGCGGTGCTGGGGTGGGAGCAGGAGGGGAAGAAAACACCAAAGAGAGGTGGAGCATCCCCTCTGGGAGCTGCAGCCCTAACAGTGTAAAGGGCATCTCCAAAGGAACAGGGCAGACCCCGCTGCCCGAGAGGGTGGGGAAGAGCACCGGGCATCTCGCCTCCCGTGTCCGGGGAGGAAGCATGGACAGGAAGAGGGATGCAGGGAGGGATGGAGGGGAAGAGGAAAGGAGGGAGGGATGCAAGGAGGAGGGATGAAGGGAGGGAAGTTGCGGAGGAGGGATGCAGACGGGAAGACGGCGGGCTTGGCGGTGCGGTTGAGTGGAGGACAGCACCATCGTGTGGCACAGCCGCTGCCTGGCCACGGGGACAGGGACAACCCAGGGCAGGGGGCTGCAAAGGCGCGATGCTGCGGCCCCCGTCGCACCCCAAGGCCAGCCCCGTCTGATCAGGGACAGGGCATCACAGCATCAGCGTCCCTCACCGCAGCACCCTGCGTCCCGGTGCTCGGCACCCCGCCGCTGACACCCGCCCCCCTGCTGCTCTGGTTTGTCCCCACTCAAGGGCTGGGGACAGGCTTGAGGACAGCAGGAGGGGAAGGGCTTGGTGACACAGACCAGGGGTGCAGGAGGTGATGGGTGCCGTTGCCTCAGTGCTGGGCAGAAGGGTCTGGTGTCTCCTGGTGGTGGCACATGGATGGGCCTCGGCTGACCCCCAGGACCTGCACCCATCGCTGCCAGCACAGGACACAGCCCCCCCCAGCCCAGCTGCCGTGTCACCGCGCTGGTGGCACCACCGGGGTCGAGTCCCAACCCCGTCCCCAGGGCAGGGCAGTGCCCAGCGGCCCCTCCGGGCTCCAGCGGGGTCCCGCCGCTGTCGCAGCCGCAGCAGGAGCCAGCGCCGGGGGAGGCGGCGGTGGCCCAGTCCCAGACCACGCTGGCCCCTGCCCTGCCAGCGCTGGCACCTCGGGGACCGGACACACCTCCCGAGGAGCACAGCCGGGGGCTGGGGCTTTCCCTTTATAGCTCCCGGCCGCGCTGGTGCCAGCCTCACTGCAGGACGGCGGCCGGCAGCCCCTCGGCCGCGATGGAGCGGGCTCCAAACCTGGTAGGTGACTGTACGGCGGCGCGGGGCTTGCTCCTCCTTTGCCTTCTTCAACAGAACCGTTTGCACGCTTGTTTACGGGTGGCTACCTGGGTTTGTTTGCTTTGGAGATGCTGTGGCCTGCCAGCCCCATCCCTGCCACGCTTGGCATGGCGAGGATGCAACAGGCTCGGAAACCAGAGAGGCAATAGCGTGACCTGACAGCATGGGAGGGGGGAAACAGCCCCGGCAGAGCGGTCCCTGCCCTGGGGCCACACACCTCAGGGTACAGCTGCAGGGCGGCAGGCAGGGCGCGGAGCTGCCGCCTGCAGGGACACAAATAGCAGGGAGCAGGACTACAGAAAGCCACTTTGTTCGCCACTGGGCAGCCTGCCGGGTGTCGGCACAGGGGAGCTTGGCCCTGTGAGGCTGGAGAGAGAAGGGAAGCAAAAAGCATCTTTCTTTTCTTTCTCATCGTCCCCAGAGCATAGAGGGAGGGAGAGGAGGGCTTGGATAAAGATCCCATTCTTGACTGTGTCACCTCTAAAGCTCCTTTGCAACCTGGGATGCCCAGGTACAGCCTGAGCTGAGGGCACAGCTCCAGCAGCACGGGCAGGGAGACCTTGGGCAAAAGCCAGGGCAAGGGGCTTTGCAGCCATGTTCATCAGCTGGGCCTTGGGCTGGAGGCTCACCACAACCGTGTGCCCACCATCCCTGCAAACTGCCCTCATGTGCTCCCATGGGTCTCACCCTGCAGGCTGCTGTTGCTCTTTGGAGACTGCACATGCCCCTCCAAAGTCAAAGTGGTCATGTTATCACCCTGCGGCCCATGGGAGGTGGGAAAGCTCCCCTTCAAGGGGAGCCAGGAACCATCCCTCCTTCCTCCTCAGCTTCTTCTCTGCATCTTCACCTTTGCCATGGTCCTGGTTCCCGAAGCAAAGGATCAAAGCAAGGCAGCCAAGGGCAGGAGAAGGGGTCTGGCACGGCCCCCCACAGCCACCCCTGCCCTCGCCTGGGCCCCAGATGACCCCTATACCACCATGGCAGACTACGAGCGCAGCATCCAGGACATGGTGCACCAGCTGAGGAACAGCTCTGAGCCAGGTGACACCAAGTGCCAGGTCAACTTGAGGCTCTGGAGGTCCAACCGGAGGAGCCTGTCCCCCTGGGCATACAGGTGAGTTGGGGCAGGGACCTGGGGATATGCCAGCAAGCACCACGGCAGCTACAGCTCCATCGCACAGGGCTGCGGTGGCTGCTGGTGGTGTGATGCAATGCAGCACCCCACATCACCCTGCAGAGGCAATGCCCTGCCCACCCCAAGCCATTCATTGACCCCCATCCCACTATCTCTCCAACCATGTCTCGCTTTCCCTCTCTTCCAGCATAAACCACGATGCAACACGGATCCCAGCAGACATCCCCGAGGCCCGATGCCTCTGCACTGGCTGCATCAACCCCTTCACGATGCAGGAGGACCGCACCATGGCCAGCATTCCCATCTACAGCCGGCTGCCCGTCCGCAGGCTGCTCTGCCCGGTGCCAGGAGAAGCAGGGAACAAACCCTCTGGGAAGAAGAAGTGTCACAAGAAGTACCAGATGGTCATGGAGACCATTGCTGTGGGCTGCACCTGCATGTTCTGAGATGGCAAAGCTAACCCTTGCAACTACCTATGGCCATCTAACCAGCTTGTTCTTGCTTCCCAGCTTGCCCAGCCCTCTGGGAGAGGGTCACCTTGCTGAGTATCCCCCTTCATGGAGTTGCTCAGCAGGGTGGGCTGCTGGTCTCTCCCCCTGGGCAGGATCCGACCTCCTCCATCCTCAAAGCCCCTGTTTGCCTTCATGTGCTCCATTGGTGCAACAGCTCCGGGAGCGCCCAGTCCTCCGCTGTGCACCTCCCAGTTCCTCTGTGCTGGGCCAGGGAGCGGGGCAAATGGATGGGGGTTTGGGTGGCTTCTGAGGTCCTCAATAAAGCGCATCGCTAGCCCCTGTCTGAGCCGCTCCCTGCCTTGGCCCTTATGCTGCCCCTCTGGCCCTGCCCAATGGGGGGCTGCTGCTCTGTCTTGTCCCAGAGAGGCTCTTCTGATCCCCAAAACACAGCCTGGACAACCCTAGAAGCAGGGAGCATCTGGCAGCACCTCTCCCTGCAAGCTGGAACCTGCAAGCACCCACTCTGCATGCCCATCCCTGGGGCATCAGGCCTGCAAGGGGAGCTAGGCTCCACGCACACATGGCATAGAAGAGGCCACGAGATCTCCTGCCCTGGCCGGGCCAGCCCTACCACCCAGGTTATTGGAAGCAAATCCAGGCAAGAAGAAGATTAAGGTGGAACCCATGTGTGCCAATGCCAGCCACCTTGTCCTTGAAAGCCCCTGATGTCCCTCCCCAGAACAGATGCAGTGACCCTCTTCCAGAGGAAAAGGCACAAGCTTTTTTTGAATAGAGCCTAGGGAGGGGGGAAAAGGGAAACTGAGGCACATGGCACACACAGCAACACTGGGCAGGGACTGTATTCCTGAAGGTGGTGCGTGTTCAAGTCACCTGGGACACAGCCCGTCCCTTCTCCTCCAGCCCCAAACCCCCTGGTGCCCCCATAGCAATAAATACTCCCCACACTACTACATGCAGAAGCTCCCAGCCCACCACCTCCCCTGGGTGTCACAGCTCGGTCTTCACCTTGTGCATCAAGTCCTTCTGGTCGATTTTCTCCAGGTCCTGATGCCAGCGGTTATACGCCAGCAGGGCCACGTTCTTGGCTGCCACTGCTATCATCTCCATGGAGCTGGCCACCCACTCCACCCCGCTGAGGTAGAACAGGTTTTCATGGAGCACAATGGGCGGGAGAGACTTGGCAGCATCGTAGCGGGGGTACGTCTGCCACTCCGTCACCTGCACCGAGTAGTAGGACCTGAAGAGGGTCTTCAGCTGCTGCTTGTCCAGCGGCTGCTGGGACAGGACGCGCCACACCGCGGCCTCCTGCGGCTGCTTGCGGCGGAAAGCTGCCGAGATGTTGACAGGACAGATATTGTCCATGGCGTGGAAGAAGAGGTCGGGGGTGTCAGTGGTGAGGATGCTGGCAAAGGGGAAGAGCTTGGGGTCGGGGAAGCCGAAGTAGGAGGAGTTGAGGTAGCCGTGCACCACGGAGGTGACGGAGGGCTGGAAGGCGCCAGGGAAGTCAGCGATGGGCGGCTCGAAGTTCTCGAAGGTGAAGTTGCTCCTGCTGGGGTGCAGGGGAGTCGTCACAACCACCACGTCGTAGAAGGCTGAGCCCTGGCCTTCACTGCCCTCGTAGTGCACCTGGTACAGGGCTCTCCCCTCTGCAAAGAGATGATGGATGGTTAGGAGTAGCCCTGAGTGCCATGCGGCATTGCCCTGGTCCCCTTTTTTCTAGCATGGCCTCCATCCCCTGGTTTCCCAGTACACACCAGTGCTGGACCATAGCATTTGATGGTTAGGGATGAGCTGCTGATGCTTTAAGGCAGCATAAGGAAGATTGCATCAAGTCTGTGGGATAAGTTTCCAGAGAAGCCCAGCCTAGTGGGGCAAGCAGGACTGGGGCAGCACAGTGCACCCCCAAACCCCAGCAACACAGCCCTTCTGCTGTGCCGAATGAGGGAGCATGCAACAAGGATGGTGACAGAGAACTGACCTGAGGGACCTCAGAATGGAGAGAATGGAGCCTTAGGGCTGAGGCCTGTGCTGCAGGGCTCCTACTGGATCAGGAAACAGGAGGAGAGGGACAGACCCCTGGGCCCTCACCCAAACGCTGTACCAGGACAAGGATGCTCTCCAGCCTCCCAGTGCTCTCTCTTTGCTCCAGCATTCCCTTGCTGCCACCACCAACCTCCTGCCCTGGTGTGCCCAGAGCAGACCCCGTGCCCAGGCTCACCCGAGCTGTGCAGAGAGATGCCCGTCACCCTGGCTGCAATGACGTTGGCTTTGGTCAGCTTCAGCAGGCCTGAACACACCAGCTTGTTGCCTCCTTCCACTGCCCAAGTGCTGCCCTGGGCCCCCGCCAGCGACATGGCTCCTGGGAGAGGAAGAGGAGGGAGGCTCAAGAGCCTGCCCATGGAGGAGGGAACACAGGGAAGGAGTCCCAGAGGGAGGAGCAGGGTCCCGGTCTCACCTGCGAAGGCGGGCACCAGCACCGACTGCCCATAGCTGGAGCGCAGCACGGCCGCGATCACATCGTCCACAAAGCGCTGCGTGACGCCCACCTCCAGCAAGGACTCGGCCACCGAGCGCTGTGTCATGTTGATGAAGGCATCACCCCCCAGCGAGCGCAGCAGCTCCTCCAGGCTGGAGAAGGCGTAGCCATGCGCCTGGTACTTGTAGATCCTGGAGGGGATGGGATGATGTCCTCGGTGCTTGGGAAGGCCCCATGCATCCCTCCCCAGCCCCACGGGCTCTCCTACCTCATGAACTTCTCCATCACCTCCTCCACCCACATCTGCAGGCGCAGGAAGCTGATGCCATAGTGCCACCAGAGACGGAAGAGGTTGAGCAGGTACCAGTCGGTCTCCTCCAGGACGAAGTGCTCCCCGCTGAATATGGCACTCTTCCCTGCCACCTCGCGCCGGTGCTTGAGGCCTGTGGGGAGCATGGGGGCCCCACTGTGCTCGGCTGGCTCTTGGGAAAGGCCAGCACCAAACACCACCATGGTGGGGATATGGGCAGAGATGCTCCTGGAGGAGCATCAGGGGGTGTGAGACCCTGAGGCAGTGGGACCCAAGCCAGACCCTGTATGGTGGCGCATCCCATGGAATTGCTCCTGCTAGTGGGGCAAACGGGGGGGGGAGTTTATGAACACCCCCCCAAATCCCACCAGGACCCCTTGCCCTGATGCTTTGCTGGGCTGCCCCATTCCATTCTCTTTCAGGGTGCCGGAACAGCATTACTGCACGCTGGGAGCAGACCTCCCCGCTACCCCGGGCTAACAATGCTCGGGGACGGAGGCCATGCAAGTGTTGGGGGGCCAGCACTCACCCAGGATCTTGACGAAGTCCTGCATGTGGAGGCTGAGCGCGTGGATGGAGGCTCCCCTGCTCTCGTACTGCTGCTTGTTGACGGTGAGGGTCGCCAGCCGCCCGCCCACCGCCGCCGCCTCGTACACATCCAGCTGCACCTGCGGCCCGAAGTGCTGCTGCAGGAAGTAGGCGACGGCCGAGCCGCCCAGCCCGGCGCCCACCACGGCTGCCGGCGGAGAGGGGCGGCGGGGTCAGAGCTCCGCTGCCGCGCGGCTCCCCGCGGGGATGCACCCATCGCGGATGCAGGCAGGGAGGAGGCCGGGCGCTGCCGGTACCGCCATGGGCGCCCTCCCCTCCCCTCCCCGTCCCCCCCATCTCTGCTCTTACCGATGCTGCGCGGCGGGGCGCGGGCGGCGGCGGGCGCGGCCAGGAGCAGGAGCAGGAGCAGGGCCAGGGCCGGCAGCAGCAGCGCGGCGGGCGGCGGGGCCATGACGCGGAGAGCGGGGCCCGGCAGCGCCCGCCCGGCACGGCCCGGCTCGGCCCGCCCCGCCCCCTGCCGCAGCCCGGCCCCCGCCCCGCCCCGGCTGCCGGCGAGCAGCCCTGGGCCTGCCCGGGCAGGGGGGACCCGGAGCCATCGCGGCGGCCGAGGAGATGCAGCAGCCGTGCACTGCTACAGGGCAGAGCCGGGCCCGCACAGCCCCGGTGGTGACCTCCAGCAGCTACCCCCAGAGCCACCATGGGGGTCAGAGACCCGAAACCTCTGGGGGTAGCACATGAGCAACCCCCGGCACAGCCACAGCCGGCACCCCCGGTGCCTTCCGTCCCTCACACACGGTGAGGGCGGTGCTGCCGTCAGACCTTCAGCAGCACCGCACTCGCTATCAACCCACGGGTGAACCAAGGGCCCAGAGCCAGGAGCATCCCCCAGCACTGAGTGTGCTCGGTGTGCACACGGGCAATGGCACATGGTGCTCGGTACCCGGCTGAGGGGAGCAGGCTGGGTCCTGCACGGCTTGCACATCACCAAGGGTATTTCAAGCTTTCGCTTGTACTTTCTGCCCTGGGCAAAACAAGGTGCCTGAGAGCAGGCAGCTCATGCCATGGGAATCCCATCTGGGAGCCTGCTGCTGCTCAGATTACAAAGGATAGCAAAGACTGAGCAGAAGCTCTAGAACAGGTAGGACATGTAATTGCAGACCTGGAGCCTGCTGTAGCCCAGCACTAGCTCCAGACCAAGGGACACAATCTAGTTTGAGAATCATCATCTGAACTTTGTTTCAGGAGAAACTCGACACAAGCACAGGCTCCCTCCTTTCCCCCAGCCAGGCCCCACCATGGCAGGGCACACACACAACCCAGAAACTCAGGCATGAACAGTTTTTTGGGGGGGGGAACAGACAACACCTCCTGTTGCTCAGCTTACCCAAGTCCCTACAATGGGCAGTATGAACCCACCAGAATGGGGAGAAGACATTCCCAAAGCAGCTTAAAGCACAGCACACAAGTAGCTGTGCAGCACGCCCCTAGTTTTAACAAGCTCTTACTTAACCAGCCTGATTTAACCTCGGCTGTGGGCGATGAGAAATCTGGCTCCAAGGGTGCGGGTCAGCACCGCTCCCCATCACCTCCCTCTCATGGCAGACTGTGCCCTTGCTTGCAGGTGCTCTGCAATACTGTGCCAGAAGCAAAATGCTCTTCCCTTTGCTCACAAGCTCCCATGCTTTTCTGCAGATGGCTGTGGTTTGAGAACTCCCAAC